TACATATTTTCCTGGGGTTAAAGCCAGTGTTTGCCCTTTGGCTCAGTTGGTTAGCACACCTGCCTTCATCCACGGGTGGTGGTTGGCTCTGAGTGCTTTAGGTGCTTACCATTTTTCCTTGACAGTTATATTCTGGGGCTGGTGGCAGTGGTCACACTGAAGGTTAGTTGATGTCAGAGGGCAGGACAGCCTGTGCTGAGCATTGCAGCACATTAAATTTTTGCCACTAAGTTCTGCCCCTGCTGGGATTGTGCTGTCAGATGGTGGGGGTCGAGGCTCACACAACACACCATGCTTGGTGTGAGCTCTGATCCCAGAAATCAATCCATTAAAAGGATCCAGATCAAATCTTAAAGATAAAAGAAGTTTCTTTCCATTGGAACTTACTCTATTTTTGCATACCATCTTATAACATCAGCATGTTGGGAACTGGTGATTTGGTTTTCTTTGTCTTTGATTCTAATAAGAGGCTTGCTTTTGGCGAAATGAAGAATACAATAGCACAGAAACAAGTCTTATAGCAGGACATTACAGCAATGATTTCAGTGTATATTATATATTGGAAATCCCACCAGAGAGTTTGGTGCACATTCCCCACCAATTGCATTGCAAGCAAAGTGATGTTTAATTAATTATATTGCCACCAAAGTGATTTCAAGCAGCCCTTCCCAAAAAGCACTGTTTCACACCAGCATAATTTAAAATTAAGCACAGGTTGGCTTGGCCTGAGTTTGATGCACACACGAGCATGATGTTCAGTACACATAGGACACAAACTGCTATAGGTGAAGGCAAACAATCATGGTAATAAAATAGGCAAAATCCTGTCAAATTCCACCAATCTATCATAAATTATATCAAAACCTTTTGAATAGATTAATTTCTGGGATCAGAATCCCATGCTGAACAGTGCTTACTATGTGAGCACTGTGCCCTGAGCCTTACATTCTGATCATGCAATTCCACATCATTGGTAGAATTTGTTGGAAGAAAGGTAAACATGGTGCAGTGCTCAGCACCTGGTCTTGATGATGCAACATGACAATTAAAATGTTGGTAGCTAAGGATGCAAGGTGCATGTGAAAGCAATACAAACAAACTTGTAGATGATCAATTGGAGATAGCAGTGATGGATGCATAGCATTAGGAAGGAAGGCTTAAGAAATTTATCAATGTGTTCACTGAAGAATGTGATAGGTGATATTCCTATCTGCATGTGTACTGTAGCAAAATATGATAATATGTATCTTACACATTTGCTAATCAAGACATTAAATGAATTGCAGCATGATTTAAAAGTATATTTATTATTGCTGTTTGTGATATATCCTTATCATGTGATATATGACATGTAGTTATGACGAATGTATTTTAATGATATATGATTTACTGAAGTCAGACATTTGCCAACCAATTACATACACCATCTTCACCCACATTTGCACACTGCCCCTTACACCTGCACCTACACCTTCACCGTTCACCTTCACCACACATACACCTACACCTACACCTAGCACCTTACACCTACACCTAACCAACACCTATCCCAGGTTATAGGTTAACCTAGCTAAGCACTAGCCTGGCCTAGCCTAGCCTAGCCAAGCCAAGTCAAGCCAAGCCAAGGCAAGCCAAGCCAAGCCAAGCCTGCCAAGCCTGACCTGGCCTGGCCTGGCCTGGCACTGTGTGCCATCTTATGTCATATTTGATCATATATCCTATCTGATCCTTTTGTATCCAATCCTATATTATCCTATGTTATGATATGCTATGCTATCTTTTGCTGTCATGTGCTATCCTATCCTTTCCTTTCCTTTCCTTTCCTTTCCTTTCCTTTCCTTTCCTTTCCTTTCCTGTCCTGTCCTGTCCTGTCCTGTCCTGTCCTGTCCTGTCCTGTCCTGTCCTGTCCTGTCCTGTCCTGTCCTGTCCTGTCCTGTCCTGTCCTGTCCTGTCCTGTCCTGTCCTGTCCTGTCCTGTCCTGTCCTGTCCTGTCCTGTCCTGTCCTGTCCTGTTCTATCCTATCCAATCCTATCCTATCCTATCCTATCCTATCCTATCCTATCCTATCCTATCCTATCCTATCCTATCCTATCCTATCCTATCCTATCCTATCCTATCCTATCCTTCCTACCTCCTATCCTATCCTGTCCTATCCTATCCTATCCCATCCTATCCCATTCTATCCTATTCTATCCTATCCTTTTTGTTCTATTCCTATCCTATCCTCTATCCTATCCTATCCTAATCCTATCCTATCTATCCTATCCTTCCTATCATTTACCTTGTATGCTATCCAGGCCTTGCCCATCTTACCAAACCTAATCTAATTATGCTAACATAGCCTGTTCTAGCCTGATAAAGTCCAGGCAATGCCTACCCTCCCAGGCTTCAGGTAACCCAAAAATTGTCTCAAGTTAGGCAGGTTTGTGCAAAAGTTCATGGGACAGTAGTTACTCAGACCATAGCTCACATGGGCCATGGCTCATTTTGAAGAACAACCCTCCAATTTATGATCACTAGTCACATTTTTGTGTTGGCAATCTAGGTCACAATATAAACCACTGATAAATGCTCATCACATGAATGTAACTAACTGTTTTTACAGGTTGGGCTTGCATGTCAGATAGTGATGATGTTGTTCTTTGCCAGTTTTTCCAAACTTTTCTTTAGCTGCATGCATGTTGGGGTGCAGGGATTGAAGGTTTTAACTTGTTGAGTTCATCTGAAGCAATACTTGCCCTTTTCAGGTCCATCGATCCGCGCCCTCGTCGTGTTTCGATGCCACCTTTGCCAAGATCCCTCCTGGATGTATGTTCGGTGTTTGTTCCGGGCATAGCAATCCTCAAAGCTGTGATTGCTTGATGGTCACTACACTTCTGGACCAAGCATTTATGACACTGATGAAAAAGAAAACTTATCATGGACAGTATAGAAAGGTAGCTGAATAATGATTTTATTCCAAACGTACAGTAAATATGGCAGGATTTTTGTTTACAGATTTGTGACCATACCTCCCATGCACACACTTTCATAATAAAGGTGTGATGGTATTAATGCTTGTCTCGCGCCATTGAATCCCAGTATGCATTATCAGAAGCCGACATTCCGAGCCAGCTTTTAAGCAGGGTGTATAAAGAACAGCGGTGGTCCTACGCGTGCGGATGTGAGCGTGGGCACAACCCACGGCATTGTCGCTGTTGACGGCACTGTCGGCTGTGACTGGACTGCCGGCAGCGGCGGTCAGACGGCTGCTCTGGCGGCGGAAGTGCGCATGGCGTGTCGGCTGGTGCTGGGCGGCGCCGAGCGGCCGCGCCTCATCCACCAGACCCTCACCACCATCGCCGTCTGTATCCTTTGCCGTTCCCCAGGCCCACCGCCGGGGCCCATCCAGCCGTTCCTCTCTCCCAGTCTGTCTCCGTCTCTGTGTGGTTGCACCAGCAGTGGGGTCGTGCTCAGGCCGTTTCCTTGACGGTTGATCCTCCAGCCAGCTGCGGGGCTTCGAACGATGCGGACGCATCGGGCGTAGCGTTTCTTCATCTTGCACACTGGTCGTGCGCATAAATCCAGGTCATTAATCCTCATGTGCATAGGTTGTGTGATGCATACTATTTGTCAGGTGCTCTATGCTTTATCATGATGAGGAAGATAAAGCATTCTTAGAATTAGTGATCTATTTATGATCGAAAATGGTGGGTGTTGGTATATTTTCGTGATTATGTAAAGTGTGCTGCCCCATGATCTTGATTTGCCATGAAACATTGAAAGGACATATGTTCTGGTGTGAGTGCCAACATGAATTTGACAATCCAGATTTGTCGCTACAACAAAGACAACATGTACTTGTGGCAATGC